AAAAAAACTTTTCTTTTTGAAAAATTTTCGAAAAGGGGGGGACCCCCCCTTAACCCTTACAAATTAATATATTGCCCCCCCTAGCAAAAGTCCTAGATGCTCCTCTGGGTGTCATGACGGTGACTTGTGAATGTGCCCCCTTCCCTTACTATACGGATCTGAGGAGCAAGGGAAGGCAACCTCCCCCGCACAGCGATCTGAACCTCATTTTACCAGAGGGCTTCTAACCCTCCCGGCCCCCCCAAACAGTCTTTCGGGAAGGATCTTCCATTTGTAATCGTCAATTTCTACTTTAAACGGGACTAATTTGACTATTTGACCACGGTAGTCGATCTTTAGTATCCTTATAACTGCATATTTGCATAATATTTTTTTTACATTCAATTTTTCTAGAGATTTTTTTATCAACAAATCTTGGATAGCTGGCGCTTTTATGCATAACTTTTAGTTATAAATATAGACACAAAAAAAGTTTTCTTCATAAAATGTTGTTTCTGACAAACAAATCTGTTTGTTATTCTTGTTATTGAAATATTTAAAAACAGGTAAAAGATAGTAATGAATATTCATCAAAACAATGCAGTTCCCATGGCACAGGTGGATCATAATCATCGCGGATTTTTCATATTGGTGGATTTTCTATTTTATAAGCATGTTTAAAAAGTCGCAATTTATGGACAATTCCTTTAGGGTATAAATTAAGTCAGGCATGAAAGCTGAAAAGTGGTAATTGGAAGCCTTTTATTTAATATAGTTTGTTAATCCCAGAAATGATTGGGAGATTGAAATAAACCCCAGGTAAAACCCATACTTTGATATATCATCATGTGGGGTTGTATACATGATCGGGGGGGGCAAAATGTTAAAATTTACCCCACCCCACTAGAAAGATCCTTATTTACGCCGATGGGCAAAGTGGCTTGGCCATAACTGCAGGCCTTCTGGGGGGGGGGGGGGGTATAAGGTGACAGGGCGCACGGCCCCGGCTGAAGATTTAACATAAGGTAAAAAATGGCTTCATTATTGTGAACAGGATACTATCCCCCCCCCTTTTAAAAAACTTCCAGAATACAGGCCATGGAAGGGAAATAATAAAGAAGTATATGTACTGATCGATAGTAGTATTAAAAAATACGTAGTTTTTCATAACTCCAACTTCAGGAGAATTGTGGGAAAAGGAGAAACCTCATGGAAATTATTGGGGGAGTCGATTGTGTCGGCCGGCCCTGGCAGCAGGGGCGAATCCAGCTTTTTAAAAAGGGGGGTCAAAGTCTGAATAATATAGGGTAGTACCGAGCGAAACATATAGTGAGCGTGGGGGGGGGGAGGAGCATTAAAAAAGCATTAAAAGTCAGCATTTTAAGTGCTAAAAACAGAAAATCACTCTTATGTATGTAAAAATATTTCTACCTTAGAGCTGCACTTACAATTTTGTTTACTGAGATATATTACTCTATAAAAAAATATATTTCCATTTCCATTGGCATTACATAATTTCTAATTACAATCTTACATATTGATTAAGATTAAGATATTAACTGCAAAAGGTTCAGGGTGTTTTTTCATGTGAATATAATTAAGTTACAACCAGGGAGTAAGGAATAGAAGGGAGATATAACTGACGCGGTGCGCCCTACCATATGATTATACATGCTTTGCAGACGAGTACTCCATTTATAAAAGAAATATTTGTCTGATGTACAATTACCGCGTTTACAATAACCTATTTTGAATATTTTTATACAAATGGAGTACTCGTCTACAAAGCACGCATAAGCATATGGTAGGGCGAACCGCGTCAGTTATATCTCCCTTCTATTCCTTACTCCTTGGTTACAACTGTTATTCCAAAGGATGCGATTTCAAGATTGTAGAGTTTTAATCTGTTCTTAACTCCATTCTTTGTGGTTAACCCTGTAGGTTTAAATATAGTGATGAGCAATTGTTAGATTCTTTTTACAGAAACTTTTGATACTTTTCGACTTTAAAAAATCAACGGTTTGAAATTGTCTTCTGTAGAAGTTTACTATTATCAAACATGCAAATTTGTTATCCGAGGTGAAAACATAAGGCAAAAACGAACTAAAAATGATCGTTTTAAAAACCCCAAAACTATCTGCATTTTTGCCTTATTTTTTCTTCGAGGGTAACAGATTTGCATGTTTGGTAAAATTCTACAGAATAAAGTTTTAAAATTGTTGGAACTTTCTCATATTGTCGTAATACCTTTTAAAAGTCTAAAAACATTAAAAGTTCCTGTAAAATGAATCTGAATATTGCCCATCCCTATTAAAATTTAAAAAAAAAAAATTTTATATGTAAACTACTTAACGTGAGGATTAAAAGTAAAGTTTGCAAAGTGGTATAAAGATAAGATCTAATCTTCCTGAATAAAGAAAGCCTGTCAACTTTGTTATGTATTTTATGATTATTTTTTTGTTAAAAAATGAAGATAAATAAACCCTGAACCTATTGAATATATTTAATTAAATTTTATGGGTATTTTTGTCTATAAAAGCTTTTAACACTTTTGTGGGTTTTACGGTTTCTAAGATGTCTCTATGAATGTTCAATAGGGCCAGATCATTAAATATGTCACCGGTGACTGTTCATGCTAGCTTTTTAGCATATTAAATTATATGCTGGAGAACAAGTTACAGTAAACTTTTAGGTTAGTCTCCAGAAAAGGGGGGGTCAAAAAATACTCTTGACCCCCCCTTTTTTCAAAAATTGGGGTCGTCGACCCCTTGACCCCTCTGGATCCGCGCCTGCCTCCCCTGGCACCTGCACCCCTGACCATTTTTGGGCGGCAATTGTGCAGAGAGGGGGGAGAAAAAGTTCTAATTCCTTGTAAGGATTCAAACGTTTTCATCTCAGTGATTCCAAGTTGTAATCACATGGATTCCAAGTTGTAATCACACGGATTCAAAGTTGTAATCACACGGATTCCAAGTTGTAATCACACGGATTCCAAAGTATTGATGATCGCATAAGGATTTATCTGATCTAATTTATCAGAGGCTTAGTTGCAGGGTGTGTGCTATGGACACCCCCTGGACCAGTGAAAGCTATGGATTTCAGGGGGATTTCAGGCCCGACATGTGCTGAACCCCCTCCCACCTGGAAAGAAAAAAATTAAAGCTTCCACTGGACAAATTGTTATAGTATTTTTTTTCAAACACAAAATACAAAATAATAATGTATGATGGTTCAGCCTAAAATAAAACACAAAAGAAAATTTAATATGAGCCAATTGAAAATATAATGTTTGATAATTTTGTTTGATCGTTTTTGTTGAAACAAAGTATGCATATTGAAATCTCAACTAAATATACATTCATTGTGCATTTACAAGTAGATAATTAGTCAGCATATATTTAAATAATCAAAACATTTTCAGAAATGCATTCATTGAACTTATAAATACATATTGATTCAGCAAAAGTAACAATGTATTTTCGTTGACTGTAGTAGACTTTAAAATTGCATTGAGCATATTCTATGTTCATCAAATGGTATCTAAAAATTATTCCGAACCCATATACTCGTTGACTGTAGTAGACTTTGACATCTACCATTAGCGAATGGTGTGAACCCATTCTTGTTGACCGTAATAGACTTTGACATCATCTATTAGCAAAGGGTGTGAACCCATTCTTGTTGACTGTAGTAGACTTTGACATCTACCATTAGCAAAGGGTGTGAACCCATACTCGTTAGTTGTAGTAGACTTTGACATCTACCATTAGCAAAGGGTGTGAACCCATACTATTTGTCTGTAGTTATAGACTTTGACATCTACCATTAGCAAAGGGTGTGAACCCATACTCGTTGACTGTAGTAGACTTTGACATCTACCATTGGCAAAGGGTGTGAATCCCTACTCTTTGTCTATAGTAGACTTTGACATCTACCATTAGCAAAGGGTGTGAACCCACACTCGTTGACTGTAGTAGATTTTGACATCTACCATTAGCAAAGGGTGTGAACCCATACTCGTTGACTGTAATAGACTTTGACATCTACCATTAGCAAAGGGTGTGAACCCATACTCGTTGACTGTAGTAGATTTTGACATCTATAACCATTAGCAAAGGGTGTGAACCCCTACTCTTTGTCTGTAGTAGATTTTGACATCTTCCAATAGCAAAGGGTGTGAACCCATTCTCGTTGACAGTGTCTACTGTCCTGTAATTAATAAGGTCTCCTATATTGCTGTCTTAAATTTAAACTTTTTTCCCATCTTTGACAAAAAGTTTTTTTTCACCTTCTCTTTTCTTTTGGGTTATGTATTTTAAAATTTAGACGAAAAGTCATTCTATTGCAAATACGTTTAGTCCAGAGAAAAAGTAGACATTCAGGCAGTATTCTTGAGAATTTCACGACATGCAGTAAAATTAAAACCCGAATTTAGGTCTTTTTTACTTGTAAAAAGCTATTAATTAAATGAAAAGTAAGGAGAAGAATTGGGATAATTTATTCTGGCGACAATGTTCAAATAATATTTCTTTATATAATTCTAATTTTCAAAGAAGAAAGATTTAAAAGTTTCAAGTTTCTACCTAATTAAGAACTTTATTTTTTTTCAAAAGTGAAACATTTAGTTGTTACATTTATTTAATCATTTATCGTCACACATTAATATTTTAGATATTATTTGATAGATTTTTTCTTCACTTTGGTCTGATTTATCGCGATTGCATGTGCCATTGCTGCGTACCGTTCTAAAGCTGCTATTTTGGTTCGAGGAGCCAGGTTTTACGCTCCATAAACTTCCATCCGTCGCCATTTTGTTGATCAAATTCTTCCTAAAAATATTTAAATCCTATAAATTATTTAGTTCAATAAAATTCAAATATTTCACTCAAATAATACCGTGATGTTTCAATATGCCTATATCTTTGCAACCCGATGTTGTATATAACCTTTAATATTTAAACCTATGAAATCTTAAAGATCAAACAATTTAAGTTTGAAAGTATCAAAGGTTAATACCATTAACTTGTTGCAAAGATATAGGGATGTGAATATTAGAGTTATTGGAAAGAACTCAGTTCCTCAGGGTAGATTTTCATTAGACCAGTCGAAAAAAGGAAATACCTTTTTAATAAAAAAAATCTTAAAATTCAAATAACTTTTTGCATAGTCCAACATTTGTACTGTCCGACGTTTGTACCAGTCTGACGTTTGTTTTGTACTATTATAATAATGATAATAATAATAACAATAATAATAATAATAATAATGTAATAGTAACCGGAAGTAAAAGTCAGGAAAGATTAACCCGGTTATGTGACGAATTCTTCATCATAAGCCGAAACGATGAACTAGCTATACAAGAATCAGATTATTCTACAGAAGAGAAAAAGAGAAAGTTTATTCATGGAAAGTTCCAGATAGATGAAAATGAGATATCAAACCAAGATAAAAAAACGTAAAGAGGAAGTGATCAAAATATTGAAGGAAAACAGATTTCTTAGATATTGTAATTCATAAGAAGAGATTAGAGAAGATGAACATAGAATACCAGCTGGACAATGAAGTAAAATTGAAGAAAACATCATCTGCAACAGATCTAGAAAGGGAACCAGTGGAAATAGCTAAGGGGAGGCGGAATTTTGATTGATATCTGTCTGCTATACACTGACGAATATGTACACATGAGTCAAGAAAAACATTGAGATCAAGAAGCATCAGGATCAAAAGAATAAGCATCAAGATCAAGAGAAGAATCAATATCAAGAGAAGCATCAAGATAAAGAGCAGCATTTAAGAACAAGAGAAGCATCAAGATCAGGAGAAGCATCAAGATCAAGAGAAGCATCGAGAGCAAGATAAGCATCAAGATCAAGAGAAGCATCAATATCAACAGCAGCATGAGGATAAGCATCAAGATCAAGAGAAACATTGAGGGGTTACCAGTATGTTAGACAAGTTTCAGGAAACATTTTTTATAAGATCGGCATGTGACGAGAACAGAAGATTAGTAGAACGTTGTAATATTGGTTTATCTAAGGAAAGAAAAATCGAGGAAATATTGAGGAACCAATACTGCTAAAGAAGGAAGGAAAAATTGACAAGCCACTGAAGTATAAGTTTGAAATTGGTGAAATTATCTGAAAAATCTCTCCTGCATCAGCTGAAGTGATGGAGTTTAGAAGGGATAATAATGCACATGGTCTTCTGAGCAGCCCAACCTACTCCACAGTGTTAGAGACAAATGAGATGGGAGAAATTCAAAACTTAGGCAACAAACTGACAGATACGTATGTTAATCACATAGCTGCAAACAGCAAGGATACTGGAGACAGTGCTCAGTACACCATAAACAGTGGAAAAGTTAATCTTCTTTTGGGAAATCAACCAAAAAGTGAAAGCGAAATGAGTGAAAATATTACTCATGAAATAGTTAAATACCCTTTCCCTCCTAGCTGTTTATCTGATGTCAATTTAGAGATAAATTATAAACCCAAGAACGAGACAATTGAGTCAGAAGAAGAGCACTTTGTCTCAAGTAGAGTGCAGAGTGTCAGCTCGAGTTGTACCTTGAAAGATAGATACAGATTAACGGAACCATAAGTTTGAAATTGAGTTGTATCTGTACGAGTCATATTGAGGAACCTTAAATTTGAGATTGAGTTATATCTGTATGATACATTTAGAGGGATACAAGAGCGTCATATCTGGATTGATAAAGACTGAGTATTATATCTGAGAGTCAGCATGAGTTGTATCTTGAAAGACAGGTACTTATTGAGGTATACATGAGCGTCATATCTGGATTGATACAGACTGAGTATTAGAGCTGAGAGTCAGCATGAGTTGTATCTTGAAAGACAGGTACTTATTGAGGGATACATGAGCGTCATATCTGGATTGATACAGACTGAGTATTATATCTGAGAGTCAGCATGAGTTGTATCTTGAAAGACAGGTACTTATTTAGGTATACAAGAGTGTCATATCTGGATTGATATAGACTGAGTTTTTTTTTTGATCGGACAAGCGAGTTCGAGAGCAAGTTGCATCTGTAGGATACACATTGAGATTACAGAAGGTCCTACCTGGATTGGTACAGACTTAGAGAACATATTGGAGTTAGGTATTTACTACAATTTGATAGTAAAAATCAAATTTTATTTATTTTACGAGTAGTAATAATGATAATGTCAATAATGATTATAATAATAATATTTATAATAATTTAGCTTTTTTTCGGGTAAAAAGTTTTAAAATATGAACTTTCTGAAAAAAACATAAGGTTTTGGTTAGAATGTATGCTTTGTCTGGAGATTTCCCCAATTAAAGTCATTCCATGCTTAACTTAGAACTCTTAATCCAAGCAAAGAACATTTCATGACTCTACAGAGTACAGAGTACAGAGTACAGAGTACAGAGTACAGAGTACAGAGTTACCCAATCAAAATTTAGTAGAAATCGGTCAAGGGGTTCCTGAATTATGATCGGATATCCAAACAAACAGTGAAACCCTTAATAACGAATACATCGAAAGAATTCATCAAATGTCGTATTCTTCACTTTCTGATAATGGAATGTTGCAGATATTTAGTTTTTTAATTAAATGATTATATGGAACTCTTTAAAACTGTTCCCGCATATTAATAGCTATTTATTTATTTTCGCAAATACTGAAATTTACGTAATATAGTATAAAACTCATTGAAAAATTGTCAAGACGACATTTGATAAATTCTTCCGATGTATTCGTTATTAAGGGTTTCACTGTACTTAATATAGATTTACCTGATTATATAATCTAGATTTCTCTCTGCTAGAAGAATTAAATAATGGTTTGGATGAAGAATACTTCCAGAAACTTCGTCGATAAATCTTCGCAGTTTTTCAGTATCTCGTCTTAAATAAATAAACTATTTGAATTTAGGTGACTTCAAGTAATTTTAGGTGACCGGCATTCGATACAAAGATGACAAAGCCCGATTTATTAAATACGACGGTAGCCTATACTTAATGCTTCTCTGCTATCAAGTTTGATTTTCTTTTAATTATAGTTTCTCTACAAAAGTTACTTGTACATTTATACTGTGCAGGAATTAGAATTAAATACTTCCATATATTGTTGATTAGATAAAGGAATTATCAGAATTAAACACTTGTAATCCTAGAAAAACGATGATATCTTCCATTTTGTTGATTAGATAAAGGTGTTAAGTGAAACGTTGTGAACCATTGCCATCGTTGCAACATACAGGATCACATGAAATTACCCGTATCAATACAGTTCCATTCAGTTACTTCAAGTTTTTTTCTAAAATGAAGTTCTGACAAAGACGGAAAAAGCTTAAATGCAAGAATTTCCAAAATTTCAACGTAAATAAAATTTGCTAAACACATGATACAATTTGTATATGAGAAACAGATATTTTTAGCAGATATTTTGAATGTCTATAAAAACCAAAATCGGTTCAAAATTTAGGCTCTGGCATAAAAAGTGTTTTTTTAGAGACACCTTCGGCCAGGAGAAGAATAGGTTTACATACTTCTCTCTTACTGTTCAATTATCTAGATACACCCTGTACCTGGAGGAGAGTAGGTTTACATCCTCCTCAAGTTGGTCAATTATCTAGATACACCCTGTACCTGGAGGAGAGTAGGTTTACATCCTCCTCAAGTTGGTCAATTATCTAGATACACCCTGTACCTGGAGGAGAGTAGGTTTACAACCTCCTCAAGTTGGTCAATTATCTAAATACATCCTGTACCTGGAGGAGAGTAGGTTTACAGCCTCAAGTTGGTCAATTATCTAGGTACACCCTGTACCTGGAGGAGAGTAGGTTTACATCCTCCTCAAGTTGGTCAATTATCTAGATGCACCCTGTGCCTGGAGGTGAGTAGGTTTACATCCTCTTCAAGTTGGTTAATTATCTAGATACACCCTGTACCTGGAGGAGAGTAGGTTTACATCCTCCTCAAGTTGGTCAATTATCTAGATGCACCCTGTGCCTGGAGGTGAGTAGGTTTACATCAATTATCTAGATACACCCTGTACCTGGAGGAGAGTAGGTTTACATCCTCCTCAAGTTGGTCAATTATCCAGTAACACCCTGTACCTAGAGGAGAGTAGGTTTACATCCTCCTCAAGTTGGTCAATTATCTAGATGCACCCTGTACCTGGAGGAGAGTAGGTTTACATCCTCCTCTAATTGGTCAATTTTCAGTTCTAGGTCTGGGACTTCCAGGAAGAACTCACAGTTGCTACAACTCCAGTCCTCTAGCTCATCAAGAGGATTTCTAAATCAGACATATTTATTCTCATAAAAAGCTTATTTTGAAATTCGAATTTTTTATAATAATGCAGCCTAGGGACTCCTGGATCAGACAATAGATCGGCAATACTGTTTTTATTAATCTAAAATTTTCAATTCTTGAGGTAAATTTTCTAGAACATAGAGTTGCTAAGAGTAGAGTGCATGTTTAAAGTTAAGTTTAATTTGGCTATAGTTTTCTTTTATTTTTTAATGCACTTTTCAGTACTATAGGCGCTAGTATCTGTCATGCAGTGTTTTGTTTCAGGAGACACATAATTATATCAACCCGTTTAGGTACCCTTTAAGGGAGTGTTCGCGAAAAATTAAAGGGGGTACAGGCTTACGGCGAAAAATAAGCGCTTTTGATCGCTACTAATCTTACTATCTAATCTCGCTATCTGTTGCATCTGTAAGGAGAAAATTGTTAAGAACGACTCATGCCGAAGAACGCAGCGTCCATACAAATTCAGAAAGTTGCAACATTCGACTCGGATCGTAAAAAATCAATTTAATTCAAAAAAATCATTCAAATATTACAACCAATAATCATCGATAATTTTTGACACATTCGCATATAGTTAATATTTCATAATATTTTTAATTTTTTATGATCTGATAGTTACTTTTGAAAACATTTATTCCTGTTTTAATGACTTTTGATAATGAAGACGACATTTTCAAATTTCCAAGGAAAGTTCGAAAATCCAGCGCCAGCAATATATTATTTAAAAAAACGAAACCAAAAATATTATGAAATATTAGTTATATGAATAAGTTGAAAAATTATCGATGATTATTGGTTGTAAAATTTGAATGATTTGTTTGGAATTAAATTGATTATTTTACGATCCGAGTTGAATGTTGCAACTTTCTGAATTTGTATGGACGCTAAGTTCTTCGGTATGAGTCGGTATGAGTGGGTATGCAAAGGGTCTGTAAAATTGTTTCTAACCTTGGTAAAAGATATCCAGACTCACATGCTTCACAAACTACAGCAGAAACCATGGTACCAAGTTCAGTCTTATCCCTACACCTTTATAAATACAGCAGTGACAAAATCAGGGGCGTATGTAGGAATTTGTCCGGCCAGGGGGAGGGGCTCTGCACATAACCTCTTTTTTTTAGGACCCATCGGGACCTAAACCCTATATAAAATCATAGATTTCATAAATCAAGGGGTGGCTAAGGACCCATAGTTACCCTTGTATACGCCTCTGCTAAAAATGATATTGAATTTATACTTTTAATTAGAAATAAAATGCCATTCAAACTTTAACCTCGTTGCATTCAACACAATAAATAAACTATCGCTTTTTCTGATTCCTTACAATAAGTTTTAATTACAGTCTGAATTCCCTTTGTACATGTTCAAGTATGCAGGTTAAATTTTTATCTTTAAAAGGACTCATTGTATTTCAAATTTTCAAACTCGGTTTATGATAACATAAAAATCCCACTTACAATTGTTTAGAAATAATATACATCATCCAGAAGGTCTAAGTTAAGGTAAAATGAAATTATTTCATAATTTAACTCAAAGTTACGTAAAATTGTGAAATAGGAAGACGACTGTTTGACTCTTAAGATAAGATTTTAAAATTAAACTAAGCTTCCCGCAACCTTTCCTATAAATAATTGTAGCTTTTAACTGTTCTCTGAAAGTCGGCCATTTAAAATCATTTTCAAATTTTGGCGCATATTTTTCGAATTGGCACATTTTAAAAATTTGGGTCTGATTGGTTCATCCGTTTATTGGATACAAACAGACAAGCAAAGTATATAATATATAGATGACCATGAAACACAGAAATCTTGCAGTTTGGACAGAGCTAACTATGAGTTGATTTTCAAGCTCGATCCTGTTTGAATTACTATAAGCAACAAAAACACATAAGATTATAAGTGCCGCCTGTTTATTCCACATTTTCATGAGTGTCACTGTATTCACGTTGAAATTGCATATTTAGATGAATAGAGTAATCACCTGGCGCATTCACAGCTGAAATACCATTCACTTCGTATTCGTCGCCGCCGTTTATGTGTACCCAGCAAAGAACTGAAAATGGAAAAAAGAAAATGAGAAAATTTATATAAATATTTTTTTCTACAATGAAGTTTTCTTTTTGTTAATAGTTGTAAACATTTTTTACCCCGTCAGTCTTAATTTTGTAGTGTATAATTAGTCTATTTGAATGTTACAGATTTTGATTTAAACCTTGAAAGTTGAACTGATCACTGATGTGGAAGATTACGTCGTTTTTCTGGTTAAAGTGTTAAATTATGAAAAGTTCTCTGTTGTTTTCTGAATCAAGAATTGCGAATGGTAACTTTTAATGAGAAACCGAAAATTAATTAACATTCATCAAAAACTAAATTTTGAATAACTGTTCCAGAAAGCTTTAAGGGTACTGTTATGAATCGAACATTACGTTTAAGTTATATCTTTAAATTTTAAAACTATTAAATCTCAAATGAATAGGAATAACAACCCTTTCCCAAATTAAAATAGGCTTTATTAGAAATTAGATCCTATTTATAGGACACCAACTTTTCAGTACCTATAATACTGTACTGTAATCTCTTCATCTTCCTGTTCAGATAAAAAATATCAAATTTGATTTTTTTTTTGATTAAAAAAATAGTTTATACGAGGGAGGGAGTGCAACCCCAACAAGTTGCGAGGGAGGGAATACAATCGCAACATCATTACACAGTTTTGCTGCAGGAACGCTTAAAATTTTTAATCATGCAATTATTGATAATTTTTCCTCTATATCTCTTCTTGCAGTCACTCTAACCAAAGGTGTTCCGTCATCCTAAAAAAAATTGAAAATGTAAAAAGAAAAGAAAGTTTGATTGAATTATGAATTAATCAAGAACTAAAAACTTTTGAATATTTTTTAAAAAAATTGTGCTTAAAAGTTTTTTATTTTTGTAAAATTTGGAAAATGCGCGAAAAATATTATGAAACCCGCAAACTTTTTTTATACTGTACAAAGAGAAGTTGCTCACAGATAAAGCCACAATTTAAAGTTATAATAGAAAATGGACGCAAAGCCCCCTAGAAGCTTAATTCAGATATATTCCTGTAGCCATATCTTTTACTAAAAGAACTAAAATCTTTGGTTAAAAATATGATAGTTGAGAGACAACTTAAAAGTCCTATTTAATAATTTGAAATAATTTTTTGCAGTCATACGTAAAACTATTACTTCATTAATATTGCAAGCACAAAAAAAGCAGACGTCATACTTTGGAAATGACAGGACTTGGAAATCTTTGTGCAGTTATTGGTTCAAGAATCATACAAGTAAAATTATGTTGATTTTCATAGAATAAAAACTACCTTCAGCTCATCGCCTAACTGCTATGTTTCATGGGACACACCCTGTAACAATTAAGTTAAAATATTTGTACCCTACCTGAATATCAATTCTGAACTTGCAGTTGGATACACAGCTATGGTTCAACAGGGCAAATATTGGAAATATTCCTCTAAATAAGATGTTTGTTTTAACACGGGTATATATTTATAAGAATTCCAACGACTTGATTTTGCAAATCTTTGATAGTTTTATATGTTGCCAAAATTGCTTGTTCTTCTCATAACTTATGTTCTTATTGTACCCAAGAAAAATATTTTTTTTTGGGGGTGGCTGGATTGATTTTGACACTAACATGTATTTCAATTTATGTAATAAAATTCTTACTTTCCCTGGAGTCCTTTTGGAGGCCCAGCAAATAATCTTCTACAAGAAATATACAATTTTTAATGTGTTTAAAACTAATAATAAAAATAAGATTTTTTAGTTCCAAAATAATGACAAAATTTTACAAAGTAGAAAAAATTGTTGAAATTTTGTTTCCTTGGTTCTAATGATACACTGTTCACCATGATTATCCCAATAGCACGATGGATTTCTTCTTCTGTCAACTTGGAGCTTAAGAAACATCTTCGCCTGCAAGCAACCAAAATTTAGGAATTCTTAAATGTGTTTATTTTTAATTCAAAATCAGCTACACTTCAATTCAAATTCCATAAAAAATTTTAACGTTTTTTTTATTAATGATAAAACTATTTCTACTCTATGTTCAAAGTAAAACTAACCGTAGGAATTGAACAACATCCTTTTGAAACATGTCAAACTCTACTAGGCCAACTCGCTCCTGGAAAAAATATTTACATTCATATTTTTTAGATTCTTTGATCTCTCAAAATGCATGAAGATAATCCTCAAATCTCCCAACTATGATCTTTTAATCTTGCAACAATGATCCTTTAGTTTTCCAATTTTGATCTTTAAATCTCCTGACTATGATCCTTTAATCTCACTACTCTACATAAAGACGATCCTTTAATCTCACAACTCTACATAAAGACGATCCTTTAATCTCACAACTCTACCTGAAGATGATCCTTTAAGCTTGCAACTCTATCCCAAGCGCTCTGATCATTTTCTGCAAAATAAATCAAGTGTGAGTTGAAAAACTTCATGTAAACAACTACAAAATAGAGAGATATATTTCTTGAAAAAGAATTATTTTGTTAATTTTCCCTATTTTGTGCAGAATGCTCATTCGGAACCCCAAAAATAGAATCTATGTAAGAAAGTCACCAGAAAAAAAGTTTCTAGAAAAAAAACCAGGAAATATAAACTTTGGTAAAATGTCACAATTTCTGAAGTCCTAGGACAAACTTCACTGGAAATAAAGTCCTGAGTTTTTAATTCCCGAAACTTTTTTTCCTAAAAAAAAGTATGGGGGCTGCCAATAAAGTCTAAGGAAATAAAATATATTCGAAAAAAAACCAAGAAAAAAGTCCTAAGTCTTTTGAAATGAGGTTAAGTCTAGGACATTTTCATAAAAACTACTTATTTTCCAGTATTTTGAATATAGCCATGGGTGTTTTCAATATCAGTTGCCCTTTTTTGCATGGTTGTAAACATCCTTTGTTACCATGCATTTTCTACTATAATAGGGCTTTTTCGCCAGGGACGTTTTTGTAAAAAATCATACTGGAACCAGAAAAAAAAGTCATAGAAAATAAAGTCTAAAGTGGTAGGCATTTTTTCCAGAGACTTTTTATTTCCAGGACTTTTTTTACACAGGACTTTTTAGTCCCAAAATTTAGGACTTTTTTGGCGGTTACCCTAAAAAGGGTTGAGTTGGAAAAATGAATTGATATTATATTTTATAAATGTAAAACCTGCCTTTTAGCATGAGAAGTCTGTATGGAGTGATAAAGGAGAGTAGAGGAACAGGTTGATTGTAATCCTCTATTTTTACACGAACTTTATTGTCAACCAGCAGTTTACACTCCTCTTGGTGTACCGCACTCTCCTGTTCAGTGTACAGAGTAGAGATATGATAAAGAGAACAGATAAGGCCCACCCGCAATTGTACAAGGTTAACCCATAAAGGACGAGACTGTAAAGAAACTCTTTAAAGATGACGATTCCAAGGTTAAATTTAGTCTTCTGCATTGAAGATGTACTTTTATGGCCTTTTTAATAATTTCTCAAAAAAAGTTTACAGTTGCAGAGATTTAGAAATGTAAGGAAACCAACATTATAAATTCTGTACAGTTGTTTTTGAAGTATCGTCCTTTGGGGGTAACCATGTATAAGATGATTGTATGGAGTGTGTTTGCAGTATGCAGACGTACAGTTCAACAAAATTGCGGTTTCTACTTTATTGGAGTTAATATCCCTCAATTTATAATCTCTACTCTGTGTGGAAATGATTTTTAAAGTTTGCTTTAAGCTTAAAATTGTGAATGATTTAATTGTTTTGTTGTTGTTATGATTGTGTTTTGTTTTGTAAATTAACCCTACAGCAAATAAAGAAAGTATCTGTACCAGTATCCCCTTAAAAAAATAGTTTTATTATGATTTAAAACTTTTCCATATGATCAAAATTAAAGGGTAATTTCCAAATCCAAAAGATTTGAGCCCAAATTCGATCCCTCTATATAAATATCTATCTACAGAATAGAGATATACATAGAGAGGAATAAACTTCGAGCTTTATCTCCTCTGTGTTTTGTAGAGTTAATTGCAGTGAACTAACCTCACATGTAGTATCACACACAGGTAGAGAACATTTAGAGCAGAATCTCTCAATTCAAATATTTTTGCAAGATGTTTAATCCCACAACATTGCATAAATAGAAAAATTAATTTTTTTCATTACATTGTCTCTTCCAAAAATGAGTCACCTGTCATGCAAGGTGTGTACGTAGTATAGTACACAGAGTACACAGAAGTTTTTTGTCAAAGTTTGTAAAAATAACTTTAAATTAAGATGTTAAGTATTTACAGAGAGTGGTTGCAGAAAATACAACAGTCCTAATTAACACTTTTGTTGTTTTAGGTAGTGCAGTTAGTGTGCCAAGCTTTTGGGTGCTTCTCACTTAGCTGACACTTTTGTATTGGGTGCCAAAATAGATTTATTTCCATTTAAATAAGTTTATTTNTTCCCGCAAAATAAAATATCTACCTATGCAGGAAAGGTTGTGAAAAGGTATTTTAGCAATCAATTTTGTTTTGCAGGAGAATGCATAATATACTGCGACATTGGCATTTATCCAAATCCTGTTTTTTCAAAATGGTATATCTTCAAATCAAAAATTAGGACCACCCAATTTTGGTAAAAGTTTGCCCATGGGCTTAATTTTTTGTTTATGTTTGAAATTTGCTACCCGTATACCTAGGAAAAAGTGCTAAATTAAATTTCTCATCTCCTGGGAAAAAAATGATCATGGCTTGTATAATCTTTTTAAATCAAAATAGATAAAGTCTTTAGAATGAAGGTCACAGAGTCACCTTTTAAGTTTCTTACTTGGCTACAAGACCATGGGCCATGAAAGCTTATAGGTTGGATTTGCGACATCCGACCAAAGACGGAGAGATGAGAGGGACAGAATACTGGCCAACAGCAAGACTGTGTACTAATGTATCCAGCATGAGCTCAGTAGCTTTGAGTCGGGATAGTTCTATTGATGTAACCCCTTCAGTTCTCATACTGACCCGGAGTCAAGCTCAGATTGCAAGTAGTCCGGTCTCTAAGCATGGCAGCTTATTAGCTCTTTATATATAGCTATAGGTCAGACGAGAAGTAGGGCTGATAATAAACCACCCCCTGTATAGTTTTTTTTCATGATATTTGGTCGGTTGGAAATCTCCTCCAGAAATTATGCTTTCAACTCGTGTAAAACCCAAGCCGAGGTTGACCTCATGTTCTATTTTAAACTCAGGCCAATAACCAGGCCCATGAGGTAGAGTGAATAGCCTTGGCCAGGCTAAAGCCAAATACATCGGCATTATCGACGAAGAATCGAAGGGGGAAGGTTGATTCGTCATATGAGGTGGATAGTCCGTCAAAAGACGGATAGTCCGTCAAAAGACGGATAGTCCGTCAAAAGACGGATAGTCCGTCAAAAGACGGATAGTCCGTCAAAAGCTCCGGCATCGAATATTATCTGTTTTTTTATGCAGTAAACACATTTTTTCTTATACTTTGTGGACTCGTTCATTTCAGTTTAAGGCTTCATCTTTGACCAACTTTTTATTTTAGCACAAATCTATCATCGAATCCAAAAATCGAACAGCTTGCAGCCTTGGTTTAGTTAGAAATGTTGATAAAATATTGAACCTAGGATTTGAGGGTTTGGCTGGAGCTAGGCACGAACAGCATACAGGAGTTGTAATTACTCCAGGCCCTTAATCAAATAATGAAATAAATCTGTTATACTTTTACTCTTCAGATACTATTTCCATTTCTTTTCCCTGCATCACTAGATTGGTGACCTGTTGCTGCTAACAGGGGCGGACTCGGATACAGTAATTTGTTAGGGGTGACTCTGTGAGCAAAACAATTGTATAGGGCGCAGCTCGAAATATTTTATTTTCATTCTCTCCTCTTTAAAACGAAAGTAACCAATTCAGCGAAAGAACACTTTTGAATAAACCTTCATAAACCTTGATTCTGAGCTGAAACTATCAATTTTGGTTAATTTTGCTTAAAAATATCATGTTTTGCGTAAACATTTACATTTTCCGCAATACTTCGCGGTTTAGCGCAAATTACGCAAAACAGCGCAAAACTTGTTGCACATACGCAAAAGTTCTCAAAAAAGTGTGCAAATGGGCTCCATGTGGCTGCCAATTTTACTTCATTTCCTTCTCTCAGCTGTTAACATTTGTAAATCTATAATTTTCATTCTCATGGATTCTCTCTAGTCAATATTGATAAAAATTGCTGCTGACTCTGTAACAAATTAGTTCTTTTAAGTCAAAATTGTTGACATCTAAATAACTCTTGTCGTTTCTTTGTAATAGCAAAAATGTTGATGCTAACTCTATAATGGACATACATTTTTGTTACAGACACCACAACGTAATTTTTGCCAAATGACATATGTTATATATGTATAAAGAACGTCCCCATTAAAATAATTAAGATTAGAATATAGTTCTTGTGAGAGCAAAATTCAATTAATATTTATATTATTAATTAATATAATTATTAATATAATTAATTAATATAATTATCAATTTAATTAATTAATAATTAATAAAATGTATATATTATATATTTTTATTCACCTACAAGTGCTGCAGTATCCAGTAGTACAGTATCTCCTTTCCGAATATATCTTAATTGAAAAAACGAAAAAATAACTCTGTAGAATAAAAATACACTCGCTTCCAGGGCGCTTCGTGCCTTCTCTCTCAGGAAATTAACTTTTAAATGTTACAATTTTTCTTAATTTTTGGAGGAATGATTTTTAGTCTGACAGTCTGCATCCAAAAGGGTAATGCGAGGTCGAAGAACAATTTTGGTCCTTATACAAGGTTACAACTTTAAACTCCAGTTAATATAAAGTACCTGGACTGTACCATAAGTTGATATAGCAAGTTGTACAGTTATATCAAATGTCTATATAAAGCAAAACGGAACAGTACACCAAAAGTTTGGATTCCAAACAAACAAATCATAAAGCAGACAAGCCAAACATAATTAAAACAATCTGTCTTTTTATCAAAGAAAACGTGGTTTACTACCTGGAGGCAACCAAACCACGACCTAAAAATAAGCAAAAATGTACTTAGTTCTTTAAAAAAGCAACAAAAAAAATTAAATGAAAAAGATTTTAATAAACAGTGTGTTCCACGAAACATAACAGTTGGTGAATAGTTTTGAATGTCTTCTTCCATATATTGTATTAGATGATAAAGACTTTTTGGAGTTTATTTAGTTTTAAGAAATCTTTTACACAAAAATATTCACCTTTGAAATCAAAATTAGCTATAATATCATTTTTTTAGTATCAAATAACTTATTATGGAAGAAGACATTTTAAACTATTCACCAACTGTCATGTTTCGTGGGACACCCTGTAGATTAATGAATTTGGGAATATACTATTTAAACCAAAATGGCTGTATTCTCAAAAGACCTTGGGATGGAAGTACTTGTGTTAAAATGACCAGGCTCATTTTGGAAAAATTTTAGCCTCTTTTTTCACTTACAGAGAATGTAAGCGTAATTTCAAGAGACCCTCCATTTAAAGGGACTGTAAAGGAAAAATTAAAGGGGTATAGGCTGAAATCTACGTTACTTAGGAGTCGATCGAAACCCTTGGGAGTTCTATCTGATGTTTCTGTCTCATGAAATTGATAAAAAAAACTGTGTCAAATTAATACCAAAATCGTTATATACCAAATTTTGTATAAAAATAGTAGGATTAAACAGATCATATTCAGCAAATACGCAAGCAATCTGAAAACAACGATAGCCCAGAGGAGCCTAAGTAACTTAGGTTTGCTCCTATTATAATTTTATAATTTTTATTTTTCATTGTTAATTGATATAATTGATATGAATTCCAGTTTTCCTCTCATGATTCTCGAGCATTCTTAACTTTCATAGAGAATCAAATTATTGCTTCTACAATATCCGTATCCCGTGACCGACGTGACCAGAATTAAAATTTGGTTTATACCGATTTTGGTATAAATTTGACACAGTTTTTTTTATCAATTTCTCAAGACAGGAACATCAGATAGAACTCGCAAGGGTTTCGATCAACTCCTAAGTAATTTAGGTATCAGCCTATACCGCTTTTAATTTTTCCCAGTCCCTTTAAAGACAACATATATCGATTAACAACGCTATGGCTTTGTCCGATAAAGTATTTAGACATCAATGTTTATTATTTTGAAAAGCGATTACTTTCTATTGCGGTTTCTTTACAAAAGTTACTTGCGCCTTATTATACTAAAAAAAACTTTTAATATTATTATAAGAAATAATCAATTTTAAACATATAAAAAACCTGTTCTTCCACATTATTGATCAGATAAAGGTTTCAAGGGTACTAAATGTACTTGGCCATCTTTGCATGGAACACGTTACTTTAAATTACACCTACAGTCCATAATAAGGTAAGGATGCACAAACTTGTTAACAGTTTGTTTACGCTGAAGAAATGTAAACAATATTTGTTTATATCTTTATTATTGCATGAAGGGTGATTATGTTTATGTAATTAAGTTTTTAAGGGCTTTACAAAATTCTATATGTACGTAACTCAAATATTAAAAGTTTCAAAATAAAGATCTGGAAAATAGAAATTTAAAAAATGAACATACCTTTGATTGGGAAATGTTTGAGACGAAATGGAAAACATTTTGATTTTTTCCTATGTACATCAGAATGACGGGAACAGGTATGTACACCGCGGCACCAAGGACACTACAGTATATATATAAATGCGTAAAAATAGTACGAAACAGATTACTTGTCTTTAATTCTAATTCGCAACCTGATATCATAGGCCTATAATAGTTTTAATGTATAAAGTTAGTTCTTTTCTAGATTTAAAACAAGTTTTTATCTGGTCATCGACACAACGGACTTTTCTGATTATTTTTCAGCAAAAATTCCATAATCATGGAAATTAAAAAACTGATATTTTACAGGACGAATTTTATAAATTCTCCAAATTACTAAATTTCTTAAATTTCTCAAGCGCTTAGAAACAAAACAACTTCAGGATTCTTTTATCAATTAAGAATATTGTAATGTTTTTTCCCCTAAAAATAGTTCAATGAAAGTGACAGTATTTCAAGTAACCCTCTATCCAAAGATGGCAAAGCCCGCTTTACAATTTTACCCCTCTTTAAAGCTTTGTCTTATCAAGTATGAATGAGAAATCCATGTTTTTGGGTCTTTAAACGGTTTATTTTCATTTGTGGTTTCTCTAAAAAAAATGACTTGCTTATAAGAAATAATGAAATGAACACTTTTCGTTATCTTTCCCATTCTTTATCAGATCAAGGTTAAAAAGGGTTTCGTTGTAATTCGGAAATTGCATGGAGGAACACTAGAAATTACGGTATACAATCCCTTTAACAATTTAGACAAATGTCATGTTTTTACCTCAAAAACCTCGCTCTTTTCTTTGCAGAAGAAGCATTCAGGGGCAGAGCTTTCTTTTTTAATATGCTTTATCCTGGAATTGTTCCTGTTTAACTGTCTTGCAAAAACTAATTGTCAATAACAACTGACTTTTTTTTTGTATTTTCTTGATTTTTTAGAAATTATCCACTTCCACAGGAACATATTAAATCAGTTTAGATTTCAAGTTTTTGATATTTTTTTTTGCAAAAAAATGTTTAAGTATTAACTCGTGATTTCAATCAGTTCTAGAGTTTCTTTTAAAACACTTCGCTTGAACTACTTAAATGAGACCCATTTCGGCAAATTTTAAATCGAGAAAAAAGTATAATTATATTGATAAACGATTTTTTAAAAAATTGAAAATCAACAAAAACTAGGATATGGACTGTTGAAGAGACACTCCTAGTTCTTGTTTACAATAAAATTAATTACAATATTTTAAAATCTATACCTTGGAAAAGTATTGAATTTGAGGGCCGACGGGCCAGGAATTAAATCCGTTGCATTCCCTAAAATTACATCAAAATTAGAATCATAGCTGCACACAACTTCATATTTGTAAAGGAATAGAGTCTTTACCACAAACTCGGATCTTTACAATCCAATGTTGTAGACCTGAGATATTTCCAAATTTGAATTATGTTAGATAAAAAATTTAAGTTTGAAATATCAAAAGTTTACACTATAGTATAAAGGTTGCAAAGATGTGAAGACCAACAAATTTGGGTTTGTGGCAAAGACTCAATTCCTTTAAATTAAAATGTTGAACTTGGCATTTAAACTCAAAATTTTCAGTTGCGTTTGGAACATAAAAGATGATTTTCGAAACTTTCCGGGGGAAAGTGTAAAAGTAAACGTTGAATTTTTTTTTTAACTTCAAAATAGTCAGTTTAGACACTTTTACCAACCAAAAAATCTAAAACTTACCAAACCAACCTTACTAAACTAAGCTAATCTAAACTAAACTAAACTAAACTAAACCAAACTAATCTAAAACTTACTAAACTAATCCAACTAAACTGAATGAAACTAAACTAAACTATACTAAACTAAACTAAACCAAACTAATCTAAAACTTACTAAACTAACCTAACTAAACTGAATGAAACTAAACTAAACTAAACTAAACTAATCTAAACTAAACGAACTAAACTAAACTGAACTAAAATAAACTAATCTAAACTAAACTAAACTAAACTAAACCAAACTAATCTAAAACTTATTAAACTAATCCAACTAAACTGAATGAAACTAAACTAAACTATACTATACTAAACTAAACTAAACTAAACTAAACTAAACTAAACTATACTATACTAAACTAAACTAAACTAAACTAAAATAAACTAAACTAAACTAAACTAAACTAAACTAAACTAAACTAAACTAAACTAAACTAAACTAAACTAAACTAAACTAAACTAAACTAAACTAAACTAAACTAAACTAAACTAAACTAAACTATACTAAACTAAACTAAACTAAACTGAACTAAACTTTACCTAACTAAACTAAACTAACTAAATTAACCTCACCTGATTTTTTCATAATTGTTCTCTCATTGTTCACCTGTATTAAAATGCATTAAAATGAAGTATTTTCCAAAAAGTAATTAATATCAATAATAATTCAGATATTCCTTTAACTTGTCATTTTTTTTGTTAAAGCCCAGGTAATAACTTTTGTGTGGAGTATCCTTTTTTTTGAACGCTTTTTGAGGATTCATCAATAAGGTTTTCCCTGTTCTCCCTGCAGCCTGCAGAGTATGACCATCACTAGAAAAATTAATCCGTATGTTTGCTTTAAGATGGAGATTAACCATCAATGTATGGATTCCAATATTCACGAGACAAATTATCGACTTCACCGGACCATTACCATTTAAAAAATAAAGTTAAAGCAATTCTTTAGTTTCCCCCCCCCAGGTCCAGCTATCCGTCTATAGGTCCCGGTCAACTCAGCAGATTTATAGAAACTGAGCTTTTAACATTAGACACATAAAGCTTTCTTTTCTTCCGGCCTAAATAACCCCTTAAACCCCTCACCCTTTTACGAGGAGGAATATTGCGAATTTATAGTTCCATTTTGGGAAGTCTAAATGGAATGGGGGTTTAAATAGAGTTCAAATAAATACATTACAGGTAATTGTAATTTGCGAATTTATAATTTGCACATTTAAAATCCAAATGAATTGAGGCTATACCACAAACTCAAATTATCTAATCCTTATATCTTTGCAACCAGATTGTGTAAACCTTTTAAACATATTTCAAACTTTGAGTATCTGATCTAACAGAATTCTTAGTTTAAAATATCTAAGATATACAATTTACGATCCATTAGGTTGCAAAGATGAAGGTGTTAGCAAATCAGATTTTGTGGCAAAAAACCCGAATTTTCATTATTTTTTAACAGACAAAGCCGTAAATAATCAGAATTTTGTTCAATTGTCATAATTATTTAATTACTTTCGTAAAGAGCAAACATAGAAATTAATCCATCTACTTGCGTAAACTTGGATTTTCTGTTTGTGTGTGTTTTTTTGCATGGTGTCTAAAAAATTGTAAATCCTCCATTATAAACTGAAAAAAACGCAAATTTAACAATTTAATTTATTGGGACACCCTGTATGATAACAGGGCAGCACGAAGTAACACAATAAAAACAGGTGCGCAACTAGACATTTGGTTAGGGGGGCTAGGGGGAAATTTTTTTTTGGCCCCCCCCTAAACATCTTTAGGGGGAGGCAAGAAAAATGTGTGTTATACTTATAACTAATCCTTACCAACCGGATATTCAGTAAGTCAACACATCTGATAATCTGAAATAAAAAAGAAATCTATTCTGGTATAAATCACAAAAATAATTAATTTACAAATTACA